TGTGTGCTCTTATTGCTGGATGCTGGTCCATTTACTAGTACCAGTGTATCATGTTCGTACTTTATGCACACCATTTATTTCTTTATTCAGTGAGGTGTCTTTAAGGTTATCTGTGGTGTCTTCACAGATGAGTGGAATTCGTGACCTGATTCCAGGTTCAGTGATTGATGCCACAATGTTCAACCCTTGTGGATACTCCATGAATGGAATGAAAACGGATGTAAGGAGTCATTTAATGCTGCATGTTTTATTGTTGTGAGAAAGTTGCTCTGTGTTCTGCAGCGTGATTGAGGTCGGTTGTCTTTCTAGGGAACTTACTGGACGATTCACATCACCCCCGAACCAGAGTTCTCCTATGTCAGCTTTGAAACCAACCTCTCCCAGACGTCTTATGACGAGCTTATCCGCAAAGTCGTGGATGTCTTCAAACCAGGGAAATTTGTGACAACGCTTTTCGTCAATCAGGTACATTATTACACAACTAATCAACTAAAGATTATTTTTCAAACAGGTACTTCCGCAACTTTTTCCTCATTGCTCTGGAAAAAAAAAGTGTCCTGTTCCAGTGTAATTATGCTTTTAAGTACTGTGTTATATTAATTAACTACATGCACTTACTGTATGGTTAGGGTTTGGCTTAGGGTTACTTGCATGTAATTATGCATAATTAAGTGTTATTATAATAGTAAGTACATGTAACGTGTGTAACAAGGGCACCTTAAAATAAAGGTTATTTTTTAACTTATTATTAGATATATTATAATACTTGTGAATTGATTGCTATGAATATTTATGTAACATTGAAGGTGGTGTGCAGTGATTCCAGCCTCTGGCCTTCTAATTGCAGTGCAGTGCAGTTGTAGCAAAAATAATGCATATGTGGTATAAAATTCTTAACATTATTAGTATTTATAAAGCACATATTCTGCATGAGCATGTTCTACATCCCTAATCCTCCCCAATACCTTAAACTTAACAACTACCTTACTAACTATTAATAAGCAGCAAATTAGGAGTTTATTGAGGCAAAGTCATAGTTAATGGTTTGTTAATAGCGAGAATTGGGCCTTAAAGTAAAGTGTGACCGTCAAACTCATTCTTCTGGTTTATCTCGTTCCCAACAGAGCTCCAAATGTCGTAGCGTTTTCTCTTCGGCTCAGAAACTGGAGGGTTACCGCCTCCTGGACCGCCAGTCGGCGCACTTCAACGACTACAACTTCGTCTTCACCAGTTACGCCAAGAGCCGCCAGCAGAAGCAGAGCTGAACCTCCGAAATGAAGAAGCGTAAAAAGAAATCGTGCGGCTGGCGGCGCTTGTGCGTGGCGTCTTCTGGCTGTAGATCTTCCCCGAGTTTAACATTTATGCATACCTGTACCTGTGACGTAGATATCGTGCATGAAAGCTCTTCTCGTGTCTCTGTAGATATTCTAGCCCATTCTTGCTGTGATCTTGAAGTGCATGTAGAGCTCTTGAACGTGGCGGTGGTGGTGTGTGTGAGGCATGTCACACCATCATCCCAGTACATGCAATGCTCCCTTCCCTTCCTGCAAGTGTCCCCTCGCATCCCCCACAGACAGGGTTTCCGACCTCACTAGACAAGGACCCTGACACGCTCGGATCCGAAGCGAGCTCATCAGTGTGCGAAGAGGTTGGGTTGACTTGCATTTCATTTCTTTTAACACATTGGTAATTTTTCGGCACTCAGCACGTGTTCAGCTCAACTGTGTGTAGCTAGCTAACTACTCTGACAGTGTGTGAAGAAGTCCTGAAAACAAACTTAAAATATTCCTCGTCCATCGTACTTTCTTTAACCCTGCAGGCAGCTGTGTTTATTCGGTGTGCTAGAGAAGTGAGCGTTGAGTTGAAGTTGAGGAACATCGATGTCGACAGCCTGAGCTTCTTTTAGGGGCTGTTTTGGAAAATAATACAGAGAAGTGAATGTTACTTAACTGTTGCCTTAAGTGTCAATAACATATACTCTGCAATATATAACCATTATGGTGAAAGTCAGCCGTTGTCTTCCTTTCCTCAAAATCAAATGGCATTTAACATGAATGTATTAAAAGTAAAAACATTAGTTAGTTGAAAGGTGACTGTTCTATAAAGAATGGATTTTTCTGAATAATGTAGCGAGTGCAGAAGAAGCCGTTGAAGAGGGAATGGTGAAGGACCCTGGGGCTGTCCAGCACAGAGCCTGCTCAATGCACGCCTTTGAATTGAAACGTTTACAGACACAGCGAAATGAGTCCTCTCTCTTTTTCTCTACAGTAAGCACACAATAGGCGCGCACCGATCTGAGCATGTCAGGGCTGACCCGGATCATTCCACACCCCACGCCTGCATAAAGTGCAGTTTTATTAATTCCCTTTTTTTGCAGTAGATTTGTACACCTCTCCAGATCATGCTCTCTTTGTGCATTGAGAAATTTTTTTTTTTCACGTGTGCTATTGCATGCGACTAGCGTATAAGCAGGATGTAGCAGGTCCGCTTCAGCCCTTTGTAACCCTTTTAATTTCTGTTCGTACGACGTAACAAACTTTGCTCATAGGTCCTGAGTGTGATGAGCGGTGGGTGTGGTTTCATTTTTACCCTCCCGAGTTACGCAGCTGGTGTAGTTGTGAGGAGGAGGAGGATGATGTTTTTGTTAAGTCTCCTTCGTAGTGGCAGATGGGTTCGTGAAATCTTCTTTACTAGAAGGTCCTGCCGCTGAGAGAATCTGAAAAAGCCAGGTCTCTCTACAGAACGCCAGTCTAGTAACGAATGTGTCTTAAAAGCCGTCTGAAAGGTCAAAGGGCAGCTGGGTGATTACGGTAGTAGTTCAGAGGGAGAAAAAAAACGAAGCAATTAAATTTGATTTAACGGACAATATAGGTGTCAGACGTGGACCACTGCTGGGAGAAATAACATGAGCATGATACCTTTTTTCCCTCTTTCTACTAGCTCTGCCCAGCCTGTGTTGGTTGGTAAGGAAACTATAGAAAGGATTCTGTCGCGGGATTTTCACAGGAAGTTGGGAAGGAAGGGGAAACTTTGCTGTTCCAATTCTCTTGCTATTTCCTTGGTTGGTCAAGATGTGCTGAATATATCTGTACTAAGAGCTTGATGCTTTCAATAAAGTTCATAACTATCAGCTGTGTACTTGTGATTTATTTATAGAGTTTTTGTTCACTGCCCAGAATGCACTGCTGTATATCACTATGATATCTGCCTGGGTTCAAAATGAAAATGTCATGTTTTATTTTATTGTACACAATGTAGGTTTATAGACATTTTATTAAATTTGTTTCAAATTTTTTTACGATAAATTATGACTTTCAATTTCCACACGTTACCTTGTTTTACCTTTCATAATGAAGTTGGTCAATTTCTTAAAGGTGCAATAGGTGATTGTCTTCAGAAACATTTTTTGTTATGCTGGTTGAAAGTCTCTTCACATCCCGATAGCAATCATTAAAGGGGTGGTTGATTGCGATTTCACTTTTTTAATGTTAGTTAGTGTGTAATGTTGCTGTTTGAGCATAAACAATATCTGCAAAGTTACGAAGCTGAAAGTTTAAAGTTATTGTGAAATCACATGTAAAGGCATTATATTTCAATGGCTGCAGATAGTTATTACTTAAAGGGGTCATATGATGTTGCTAAAAAGAACATTATTTTGTGTATTTGTATTTTCTAATTTAAAAGGCATAATTTCAGTCAGGGGGGAAAAAGCTTTTGGCTTCTCTCCTGAGGCCACAAGAGGGCGCATCGAGCAAAATATTATGCACGTTTCTTCAAAGCGTAATAAAATAACACGACTATCTTTGAAAAAAAGTGCATTATGTTTAAAATAATGTTTATAAACCATATATAATTAATAAAGTTGCTTAAACAATTAGAAAAAAAAACAGCACCATGCATGTATGTATAGTTTAATACAAAGGACCGAAAACCAATCACAAAGAGTAGGCTACTTTCTTCATTTAAAAACATGAGATACAGTGGGATGGGGAAAAATCGCCATAAAGTTGTGTTTCTTGTGAGAATGGAAGTATATGTTTACTGGACAGTTTGCAGTTTTATTTTTTGGTGTGTGTTAAGATGGGTCGAGCTGAGCCCAGAGTGCTGCCCCAAGACAGCACAACTAATACTGCATCCATCGATGGAGAGGAACATGAACTGTCAGTCTTACCGCTCTTTTCACTCGACAGACATTTCAAAATCCATCGTTTCATTGAAGAGATCTTCTCTCTTGACTTTCCTGATAAACATTACATTTGGCTAATGATCCACAAAATTGGATAGTTGTTTGTTAATGGGTTGCCACTGACATAATTTTTCAGGATACCAATAAATCACTGTAGTCTTAATGTTCCATGTTTTTTTCTCAAACACTCTATAAGTTTCTCCAATGTGTTTGTCCTAGGCCCAGTTATTCCAGTGCAGCAAGTTTGGCAGTAACTGGTCCGCTCTTTGTGATACAGGATGCATACTGATGTGTTGATACTTTTAGCTTTGTAGTGACGTATATTATGTAGTCTTTTGGGTGTTAAACCCAAAAACGAAAATTCTGTCATCATTTACTCTCATGTCACCTTCACGTCATAACAAAAACTGTATGAATTTATTCTTTTTTTTCTGTGGAACATAAAAGAAGACATTCTGAAGAAGACTTTCTTGGTCCATACAATGAACTTCAATCGAGTCTTATGTTGTTTAAACTCCAAAGTTCTTCAAAATGTCTTTTGTTTCACAAAACAAAGAAAAGGAGGGTGAGGCAGGGTTGGACATGAATTCCTAGCAAACAATAGGTACATTCTTACATTGACATATCTACACACATAGTATAGTCTTTTGGGTGTTAAACCCCAAAACGAAAATTCTGTCATCATTTACTCTCATGTCACCTTCACGTCATAACAAAACTGTATGAATTTATTCTTTTTTTTCTGTGGAACATAAAAGAAGACATTCTGAAGAAGACTTTCTTGGTCCATACAATGAACTTCAATCGAGTCTTATGTTGTTTAAACTCCAAAGTTCTTCAAAATGTCTTTTGTTTCACAAAACAAAGAAAAGGAGGGTGAGGCAGGGTTGGACATGAATTCCTAGCAAACAATAGGTACATTCTTACATTGACATATCTACACACATAGTATGACAACCAGAAATGTTAAATACCTCTACACAACAAGTGTAAATGAGCTGGAATTACGGAATTAATTAGTTTTTATTTGCTTCAAAAGTGAAATTCAAATTTGCACAAAAGAGTTAGAATGAAAACACTGATCATGCAAACATTTACCACGGATTTCCAACTTGTTACATGATTGTCACATTACATAGCCCTGTATATGCATATATAAATATATAAACTAAGCTTTTCTCCCTCCAATGACCTAGCACTGACTAAAAAAATAAATAATCACTGAAATGAAATGACCAGATGAAGTCATTAGATGCGTATTTATGTTTTATGATTTCACTAGAAACTTGCAGTGCCATCAATTTCGACTAAAATGGTAATTTTCCAAAATTTAAAAAGGTCCTGGAGGTTTGTGCGGAATAAATAGACATAAGTGGTCAATTGTGATATATATATTCTCTGTGCTTCTGGATAGTGAAGCATAGTGCAGCTTACATATTATCTCAGGAAAGTACCTCTGAGGGAATTTATAAACCATTTCAGAGCTTTATTCATTTGTCATCCCAAATATGTGGGAACACAGTACAATTTGATTGGTTATTGTGTTTCTTCATAGCTACTGTAATTCAGAATATAAGTAAATATAACTAGCTTTGATTAAAAAAAGGTATATTATGTGACAATATACCTTATAAACGAATATATAAAACAACACACACAGACTTGTATGTGTTTAGTTTCAGTGTCTCTTTCTGAAAGGAGAAGGGATTTGGGCTGAAAAAGGTTCTCAGGCAGGTCAAGACATGTTTCTGTAAACAAATATCAAAAATAAAACAAGCTTCCTGTATAAAGATGTCATGACAGCGCTCACGTATCAAATGTGTGGATCTTCAACAGTTAAAAGGTTAGTTCACCCAAAAATGAAAATTAGGCTGTGTTTTACTCACCCCCGAGGCATCCTAGGTGTATATGACTTTCTTCTTTCAGACGAATCCAGTCGGAGTTATATTAAAAATTGTCTTTGATCTTTCAAGCTGTTTAATGCCACTCAGCGGGTGTTGCAGTGCTTCAGTCCAAAA